AAACTAAAAAGGGTCACCTCTCAAATAATTACTATACCTTCAGTTGCAGCCACAGTCTGCTGTTGACAACCTCAACTGACGTCTTCTTGTCGTACCACGCACCCATCTGGTCGATGTAGCTGGTGCTCCTAGGGATATTCCGGTAATCTCTAGTAAATTCTCAGTATACTCAATCACAATGTCAGTAATCTCCAGTAAATTGTAAGGTAAGATTGTTGTATTACTTGGTGAGGGTTCAGTAATCTTTCAGTAAACTAATGAAAATATCAGTAAACTCTGGTAAACTATACCTGGTGTCGGTGATGCGGAGGATCTCTCTCGCCAGTCGGCCGACAAAGGTGACGGACTCGGAATCGGAGCGTGGGAACCGGGGAATGGGGATGGTGGTGGACTGGTACACAGACTGCCAGTCGTGAATCTGTGTAACACACAAACAGTGCAAAAACACTTGGAAGAAAGTCAGTGGTGGATCCAGGGGGGTTCCTTGGGTTCCGCGGAACCCCCCTTTTTGTCGTTTTGCGCACATGCGTCGCCGGCCTCGTGCGCACGCACGAGCGCAATCGAAAACGTTCTGGACAGCGGAAACCCCCCCTTTCAGAATCCTAGATCCGCCACTGAATGGCAATGGCAAAAAAGGAGCAGAAAATGCGTCAGTGAAAAAAGCCCGGTGACCCTGGAGTATATACCACAAACAAGCCTGGAAGAAAAAAGGCTTAGTTAATACCACAACCTCTTTAACTTTGCCAACATTTTAAGGACCTATTGGGGGAAATCCTTGTACACATCTTCTCAGTGTCCATGTATATATATATTATAAACCTTGGTTCTGAGGAAGGAATTGCACTCTTGATCGACGTTATAGTTGATGATTCTTGAAACCTCTTCCTGCCATATCTTCAGACCGTAGATGTTGACGTAGTCTTGGATGTACTCAAACGACCTCCGGAATCCACTCATTCTCTCCGACAGCGCCACCAACTTCGGCTCCAACTCGCACGTCTGTGGAGAGATTGGGAGAGAACGAGAGAGAGAATTATTATTAGTAAGAGATGGCGCTTTAAATGGAACGTGTGCAGTATATACTTTCGTGTAGTATATTTGTACCTCGGAGTAAAGGACGCATTGCATGAGTGCCATCAATTTTCAATACAGTTTACATACAGCGAAATTAAGATTTGAGTATTTCATCAAAATACAGTCTACATAGGTAAACATAGTTAACACATGCACAAAGGCAGCCTGAAAAGGGGTAAGCTCTACACTCTATTGAAAAGGCCAGTCTGCACAGGAAGTCTGCACACACACAGGGCAGCACACTAGGCAAACTTCGAGCTACATTAAGATGTAAACTGAGTGCTGTGTTCATAGTTCTATACACGAGATATCAGTCATTCAGCGGTTACCTCGGGCTACGAGCTGAAGGTGTAGCTACACTTGTTACCTTGGCCTTGGGGTTGAAGATGAGGCTGTGGTGGAGAGCGCTGGCGACCTGCTGCACCAATTCCTTCCTTATCCCGTCCTCAAGTAGCTGCTTTGGGTCCACTTTGACCACGCCCACTAGCGTCGTCTTCATCAGTAGTATTCCCTCCGTGAAGACCGACTCTACGAGATGAGTCAGTGCCACCTTTGGAGGGAGGAGAGGTAGCGAGGAGAGAGTAGGATGTAGAGAGGGAGAGGATAGAGAGAGAGATGTAGTGTGAGAGTAGTAAGATAGATAGAGCGCGCTATCGAGAGAGAGAGAGGCGAGTGAGCTCTACTCTCTCGCTATCGCTCGTCTCTCTCTCGCTATCGCGCTCGCTCGCTGAGCCTCGTTTTCTCTCTACTCTCTCGTCTCTCTCTCTCTCGCTCTCTCTCCCTCTCGTCTCTCTCTCTCTCGTCCTTCTCTCGCTTCTCTCACTCTCTGCTCTTCTTTCTTTCTCTCTCCGTTTCTTCCGACTTCTCACTATTTGCTTAGGGACAGTGATATAGTGGAATGTCTCTTACAACATCCGAACCTAATACTTTTCTACGTATTGTCCTTCCAAGCCATCAAACTATCAAAATGTGCCAAGTAATGTGTATGCCAGTACATAAGGAAAACAAAAACAAAAACCGCATAGTCCCCAGTGGTGTTGCAATGATAGTGTTTGTGGTTTCATTCGTTTCAGTAAGGCGTTCTAGCCTTATATATGTACCAAAGGCTTTCCCCAAAGGTCCCTTACAATACAAACACCACCATATGTCACAAGTCACTGATCGTATCGTTCGTCGAGCTGTGCAAACTCCTTCATCTTGTCCTTCTCCAGACGAGTGGGGACCTCCTTCATTCGGTGTGTGAGGATGTGGATGATCTGATGGAGGAGCTCATGGAACATGGTCTGCGGGATGATCTGTAGGACCTGTGGAGTGACATGGGGACCGTGTGGAATCTCGCTCACAGCGGTTCAGCAGAACAGAATAATAAAACTACGAAGTGAGTGAACTTCTGCAAACAACATACGCATGAGGCAAAACACGCTAGCGAAACATTTTTTTGCGCGAAATGTTGGGATGATCTGCAGATCGTACTTCACACAAGTTATACACAGCTAAACAAGGCTGTAAGTTTCAATGCTATCAACTTTGAAGTCCTCTTGATCACCCTTGAAGTGAGGAAATCTCACAGGTACTGTGAGGCCACACTCACCTGGCGTACCTCCTTTAACCCCACCCACACTCACATCCCTCGGGGCGCAATTACCAAAATTCCTTAACCCCACCCACACTCACCTGGCGTACCTCCTTTAACCCCACCCACACTCACCTGGCGTACCTCCTTTAACCCCACACACACTCACCTGGCGTACGTATCCGACCAGTTCTCTGGAATAGTAGGCAGACACTGAGACCAGATCGGGGCTGTTGGCCTCCAGGATCCTCTGACACGGCAGATTGCAGGGCGAAGACATCTGGCGGGGGCCGGGAGAGAGAGGAAAGAAAGGGGTTATGAAGAAAATAGAGAGCGGATAATTCCTAAAGACTCGATTTAGCCGGTACAGTGAAATCTCTGAATAAGGGACAATTGGAGACATATAAATCAGAGCCATCTTTTTATGTCAGGTTGTATAATGCACTAATGTATTAGTATGGGGAAGAACTTATGCAGAGAGGTGCATTTTATTCAGAGGTCCTTGTTTACCGTACCTTCAAGAAAGTGGATCTCAATTTGATGACCAGCGACGGCTGCCTCTTGATGAACTCCTGCATGAACCCTGTGTAACTGCACACAAGGAAAGTTTTTTTAAAATGCTGTATGTGCAAAATAATACTTTAACGATATGACCCCAAAAATGGTTCGAACTGGTCGATGGTGGGATCCAGCATCGAGAGATTTACGGCCACCAGTTCAGTGTGGTCAGTGACTCTGAGGGGGGGTGAGGTGTTGTGATGTTCCATAAGGACCAATTTAGGGACAGACCTACAACCTACAGGTGACCACTGTGGTCTGCTATCTAGTTCTCCCGTCTTGCAATCTTGTTGGTTGATCGTTATGCATCATCTTCAAAGGTAGCGATTCGTGTCCTACGATAATTGCGTTTCACTGAGAGTTTCACACCATTCAACTAATCTCAATCTACATGCTGTAGCTATATTTTCTGTTGGTCTAAAAATAGAACATGACACCATTCTACTAATCTCAATCTACATGCTGTAGCCAAATTTTCTGTTGGTCTAAAAATAGAACATGACACCATTCTACTAATCTCAATCTACATGCTGTAGCCAAATTTTCTGTTGGTCGACATCATTCCACTAATCTCAATCTACATGTGTAGGCAAATTTTCTGTTGGTCTAAAAATAGAACTCCGCGTCTGAAAAATGAACCAGACACCACACTCGTCTGGGTCTTGGAAATGGAAACGGCGGAGCGGTGGAACGGGGGGGAATGGGACATACTTGTGAACCTAGCCATGAGAGGTGCATTGTAGGTGATTTTTAAGACAGTATAATGTCTCAGTGTCATCAGTGGACTAATTCGTTGGATTAAGGAGACGGCCTTACTGTGAACCAGCTAAGTAAGACTAAATGGAGAAATAATACACTAAGTATTAGCATGGGTTTTGAAAAAGTGTCCCTTTAACAGTCGTCCCTATCTCAGAGGGCCCCTTATCGGAGGTTCCACTGTACATGTGTCCACTGTAGTGTGGACCTAGACTGAAGGTTCTAAAGACTAAAAGGAGACCGGCCATTACCTGTAGGTTACTCTCCAACTGGTGGAACTCCTGCACCTCCTCCATGGCCTGGATCAGCTGGGTGATCTTCCTGCCGGCCGACGTGGATGTCGTCATAAGAGAGAGAAGATATCTGAGAGACGCCACTCTCCGTGACCACCAGCCTGCAGGGGCTTCGTGAGAGGCGAAAGGAGATGGACGAGGAGGAAGAAAAGTTAATGCAGACACTTCTTGGAAATCGATGATGATATGGTCAATTGTATGAAACTGCAAATAGCTTTAGCATGTCAAAAATTGAAGACTAACACATATTTTGTGAAAAAGGAGTGAGCATTAGCAAATTTTGCGAATTAGACAAAATTTGCCTAGTATCCATCACAACAATAATAGCTTTAGCATGTCGAGTTCACTGTCTGACTGCGTTCTACAAATTATTTTCTATTAATTACCCCATCTCCTCTCCCTCACTTTCCTCCTATCTCCCTCTCTCCTCTCCCTCCCTCTCCTCTTATATATCTCTCTCCCCTCCTCTCCCTCTCCTCCTATCTCCCTCTCACCATTCTTCTCCACTCTAGTCAGAGGTTTGGTCCCTGAGAACACCTCCCCCAGTTCTGTCATCCTCTCCGACCCCTCCTTCTTGAACGCCTCCCATTTCTCCTGCTTCTCGTCCATCAGCTTCTTGAACATCTGGTATACAAGATTGTACACAACAACAACAACTGTGACAAGATTGTAAACAACAACAAATTGTGACAAGATTGTAAACAACAACAACAACTGTGACAAGATTGTAAACAACAACAACTGTGACATTATTGTAAAAGCAAAAACTGTTCAGATATTGACAATGGCAACAACAACAACAAACTGTTCAGATGATTGTAAACTATATATACAGTAAATATGTGACAAGATTGTAAACAAAAAAACAAACGTGTGACAAGTTTGTAAACAACAACAAACAACAAGTATGCGGAGTGTGTGAAGAGCACAGACCTCTTTCAGTAGGAACTCAAACTGAGCCGTGTTTAAGAGAAAGACAAACATCTTCTTCGGCTTGTATCCCGCGGCAACCACCTCCTCCCGTATCTGCTTACACCTCTTGTGATGGTCGGCAACTGAGGAATCAAAACGTACGAGATATATAGTCTCTCTCATTTCACTGAGTTCCATATACTGACAGTACAGGCCCATATGTACACAAGACTGAGAAGATGAACAAAACTCCCTATCATAGCCCCATACATCTATGATGCTAGGTACCATGTCAATCCCTATATACTAAACTACCATACTTAGTGATGATGTACAGATGCAGAGAGTACAAGGTTGAAGAAGAAGAAGAAGAAGAAGATGATGAACAAAACTCCCTATCATAGCCCCACTCTATGCAGGTACCATGCATCCATATACTAATTACTAGTGATATGCAGTGCAAGAGTCAAGTGACAGAAGAAGAAAAGAAGATGAACAAAATCCCTTATAGCCCATATCTATGATGCTGGTACATGCAATCCCTATATCTAAACTACATACTTATGATGAGTACAGATGCAGAGAGTACAGGTAGAAGAAGAAGAGATGAACTATCATAGCTCCATACATCTATGATGCTAGGTATACCATGCCAATCCCTATATACTAAGTACTACCATAGAAGAAGAAGAAGAACAAGAAGAAGAAGATGAACTATCATAGCCCCATACATCTATGATGCTAGGTACCATGTCAATCCCTATATACTAAGTACTACCGTACTTAGTGATAAGCCAAATGTCTGGTTTCGGCCAGTCTGTGCGTCTCTCACCGGCCGCCGTGTGGAGCATGATCCATCGAAGTGTGACGTTGCATTCTCGCAGACAGTTCATCAGTTTACCCACGTTGTCCAACACAAAATCAGCCACCAGAGTCCCTTCAGTCAAGTAATCCTCCACCTATACACACAGTCACACACACACACACACTTTTACACTGCTACATAACAAAAAGGTTCATTTCGCGATGTCGATAAAAAAAAGTTAAAAAAATTTTTTATTATGTTTGCGAATGTTTTAGCAAGCCACACATGTCAACTGAGAGATAGTTGAAGGGAATGCGGCAGTGACGTAATGGCTAAATTTAGAAACTGTTACTAAAAATGGAAACTCAATTGCATTCTTGCACTGTGCCCCTATTGTTTAGTTCTATCTTTAGTAACATTTCTAAATTTAGCCCTTATGTATCTACTGTCACATTCCCTTTAAGTTACGGAAATTAGAAACTTACAGCCTTGTTCAGAGGTGTGACTTGGATGATGTACTTCGATGCCTTCAGAAAAACAAACAACAACGCAAGTGCTCATATTATTACGTGTAAACACTTTCACATTGAAATTCTCACTGTTAGCCAATGGTCTCAGATGATTGATATCAACTTTAATTAATGCAACGTATCGAGTGGTAAAGGAGATTCGGTCATTACTTTATATATAAATCACAGTTTACTGTTGTCTATATAGTCTAGTCTAACCTTATTGTGTATGTAGAATTTTCTACCATTAACATTCGTTCCTTTGTTATTTCATGGCCTTCGTTTAGTAAACTCTGATTTAAGAACCACAGGTTCTAACGGAGGGGTATTCCAGTAATCTCTAGTAAATTCTCAGTATACTCAATCACAATTTCTACTGAAGAAAGAACCACAGGTTCTAACTGACCAGTTGTTGTATGTTGGTGAGCAGTGAGTGTGTTGTTGAGAGCTGTTCTAGCTGCTTTGTAAGGCTCCCAGGCATCCAGTAGGTTGACTGTTATGCCCATGTACATCGATATGACCTGGAGGAGGGAGGGAGAGAGAGAGGGAGGGAGAAAGGGGGAGGGAGGGAGAGAGGGAGGGAGAGAGGGAGGGAGAAGGAGGAGAAGCAAAAGTGGGAGAGAGAGAGAACTTTAGATAGGTACGCCTCTCTCCCTCCCTCTCCCTCCTCACCCAGTTGTCGGGGAAGTGCTTGTCGACTATCTCCCTCATCTGGGCCTGCTGGGTGTGCAGGATGTGAGGCGCGAAGTAGAGAATGACGTACAACATGGCCGCCTGTGTCGCCAGCCCGGTGCTGCGGTGCTGCGGGTTGGGGTACGTCGATATCTGAGAGAAAGACATAAATAGACAGCGAGATTCCATAACTACCTACATGTATTCGTTTTACTTATACATCATGTGTGTACATGTCTCAACAACTTGGTAACGAGGTAGAAAGGCAAGGCAAGGCAAACGAAGTCAACTACACCCTAGGACAGCTCTCTCTTTCTTTTCAGAAAAGAAGAAGAGCTGCCCTGGGTGGGATTCGAACCCACGACACTCTAAAATCTAGGCGAGTGCTCTACCAACTGAGCTACCAGGGCAACTCAGCTGGTACGGGTTCGAATCTAAAACACAACACTATAAGATTCTGCTTATTAAAGAGATACCCATGGCGTCCATAGGGTTAATAAGAGACGCTTAAAAAGGACAGTTTTAATGTCCTCATTTTCCTCTTATTCAGGGTTTGGGTTGTAAGCAGCACCTGACTGTAGATGTCGTCTGATCTCAGTCTCCCTATCACCATCTCTATGTACACCTTTGAGATGGGGATACGACTGCAGGAGAGACAAAGACAAACATGCACGTTTTGAAAAATTTCAAAAGTAGAGCTTTTCCTTAACAATTAACCAGCCACGGACACATAATGTGTCCAGAGCCTCCATAAGAATTTATATGGGGTTATAATATATACTAGGCACTAATACTTTATACATCAATTTCTGCTTATGTAAGCCGATACCAACGGTGTCCAAAGGGTTAAACCTTAAACTCCCTCTCTCTCTCTCTCAAAACTCACGCAAAGTACTCTTCGGGATATTTGGGAGGTCTCTTCATGACCGGTTGCCTTGACAACCCCGTACTCCTGAGCAGTTTGCAGACGTCGTCGATGTTTGAGTCGACGTTGATGTGTTGGGTGCTATAGCGATGGAAGGCCACTAGCATTCTCTCGCGGAGGAGGCCGTCTATCTTTAGGTCCGTGATGAGGAGCATCACACCATAGAGATAGAGCGCTTCCGACTGAGGGTGTGTGTGTGTGAGTGGGTGGGGGGGGAAGAGGATAATGAACAACCAGAATAAGTGATTTATAATGTTGCCTTGAGCCAAGGAAAGTTAGATGTTGAGCCATTATATTTGACACAGTTGCCCGTCTCAAGATAAAGAAAAAGGTAGCGAGATAGGAAGTAAAGCCAGGAGAGGAGACAGAGAGAGATAGTAACCTCCTCACCAGTAGCTGTTTCCCATCTTCATTCAGCAGAACATTCTCTAGTGTCTGTTGGATGTACACCCCCTCCTCCAGATCCTCCAGGAACCTGCCATGGTAACACAACATCACCACGGCAACAGATACAGTACAAACGTCACCATGGTAACAGATACACATCAAAATAAACATCACCACAGCAAGAGATGCCGCACAGACATCGGTGCAACAACAGATACCATGGCAACAGATACACTACAAGCATCATCACGGTAACACACATTAAGAGGGTGTGTGCTGTATACCTGTTGAGGTCGATGACATATTTGTGGACACTCTCAAAGACTTTGTAGAATCGAGTGAGGATTTCGATGTGGTTCTCACGGAATTCATCGTCAATGTCTTGTAGCTCCTACAGTTGTGTGAAAATCGACTAACTATAGCTACGTAATGGTGTCCGAACCAATCCAGCTAATTTTAACCCCTGGCTCACCGGGTTGGAGTCGATCTTCGTCTCGTAGTACTCGGGTCCCTCGAAGTAGGAAAAGTCGGGAAGGATGAAGCGGTAGCGCTCCTGCTCCTCACGTGACTCTAGCCGGAACACGGGCGGGATGAAGTCGGAGAGACGGAGCAGCTCGGCGATGATGGCGTTTCCCCGGCTCACCAGCTTCAGCACCGTCTGCCCGCAAATGTTCTCCTCCGCAAGAAAGTCGATGGCCGCCATGTCGGTTTGGGCGCCGTTATACCCCACCAGCAGGGAGATGACCGTGGAAAGACGAGGAGAGGGGGAGAGATGAACTTTCGCAGGGAAAGGGGGCGTGGTTCATACTATCACATGATGCGCGCACTCTTATCCGTTCGCGCATGTTGACCTTTCACCCTTGACTCGCGCAATGAGCGATAGCAACGCCCGTACTGTTCCTACAGCAAAAAGACAGAAGTAAGCAGAAGAGAAGGAGTATTAGGGCTACTAAGAGCGTGTGTTGTGTGTTGTGTAGGATGGCTGCAGGAGCGGCAGCCGGGAAGGTGATTAGGAAGATCATCAGTACCGCCAGAGCTCCTTCCGCCATTGGACCTTACAAGTCAGTAGCTATGCATGTACGTGTGACCGTGTACGACGGAGTATAGCTGTATATACACCTGAGAAATACGTCTATGGGCGGAGCAAGGCCTTTTATGGCTTTTGACATACATATAGTGTGTATACATTATTGCTATGAAGTCAGCATGCTATAATAATATATTATATGCCTAGGCTTGCCCCCAAAATTCCTGTACATTTTATTTGTAGTAAGTACAGGAAACCTGAGAACTTTTGCAACTCAGCAGGGGTGACTATGACTTTAAAAACTAAGTGTAAAAGGTTTGGTATAATTATACATGGTCAAAAGAAGAGTGTGTATTTGTTCATCTCTCTTCAGTCAGGCAGTTCAGGTGAATGAGACTCTCTACATCTCTGGACAAATTGGCCTCAACCCTGAGGTAATAACGCAATAACCTTCCCTTAAAAAATAGCAGGGCAGTCTATTGTGCTTGATAAAAACACTTACCAAACCCTTTACGGAAATTTTGTACTTTTTTGTGCTTTCTCAAATTTTAACAAGCATTAAAATTTTGAAGCGAACTGTGTCTCAAATTAACAATTAAAACATCTTTCGCCACTCAAAATAAAGGATTCACAAATTACAAGAGTTTCTGGATAATTACAGTAGCAATCGTGAAACCTCTGCAGACGATGGAGTTCCCGTCAGGAGACACCGAGGAGCAGACTAGACAGGCTCTCACTAACATGGGAGCCATCCTGGAAGAAGCAGGATCCTCCTTCAAGAATGGTGTCCCTCTCTCTCTCTCTCTCCCTCACTCCCTCCCTCCCTCACTCCCTCCCTCCCTCTCTCATATATAATCTGTTACGATATTTCATTAATATTCTTGCAGTGGTGAAGGTGACAGTGTTACTGGACGATATAAACGACTTCACTCGTGTCAATGATGTCTACAAGACTTGTAAGTAACAAACTTCCTTTATTCATTTTCGATTTTTTACTTCCATTATTTGTTAACCCTCTATCCAGTTTTTACTGACAAGCAACCAGCAAGAGCAGCCTATCAAGTT